GATACGCGTCTCCCTCTCCGCTCCGACGTCTCCGCGCGTCTCCCCTCTTGCGACGCCCGAAGGCCTCGCCGCCCTAAGTAGATATGGGGGAGATATGGGGGAGATGCGTGCTGCGGCTCGCCGCCCCAGCAGAGGAAGACTGCGCAGTCTTGTCTCTCCCAACCAGCGCTCGAGAGGACACGCATTCTCAGCCGCTCTTCCCCTTTCAGCCGCGTCCACTGCATTCACACCCCTCGTCCTCCCACGCTGCCCTGAAGACACGCGGCACGACACCGCCCTCCCGCCCCTCATGCTTGCGTGTACTCACCACACAAAGACACAACCCCCGGGCCCCAAGACGCACAAGCACAGACAGTCGAGAAGGGAGAGACAGCAGCGACAGTCAGAAGTCAGCGCTGGGTCCCAGGAAGGCGAATGCGAAGGCGAAAGGCCGCCTCTAGTGCGAGCTTTAAAGCTAGTGAGCGCATCGCTACTCTACCTTGCGTGCACTCGCCGCACAGGCTCGCCGGCAGCGTCGCAAATCGCCTCCCCCCGCGCCTCCGCCACGTCGCCCCGTCTCCCGATCCCGACCTCGCCCGTGCGGCCGGAGGGGTCGGCGACCCCCCCGTGGGCGACGCCCGGCTATGGCGCGGCGCCTGCGCCCAGCTCACCGGACCGGCTCGCCGCGCCACCGGTGCCGCCGCCGCTGGCATCGAGCCCAAGGTGGCGGACGAGTCGCTCGATGTGTAGTGAGTGAGCGACTAGGTGCTGCCGCCGCTCACTGAGCCGCCCCCGCGGCGGTTCCAGAGCGGGCATGCTCCTCCTCCGCCCCACTCCGCCATCGCCGCGAGCGGCGGCGCCGCCGCAGACAGCGCCGGCCTCGCCGGGGCGCCTGCCACCTCAAGCGGCTGCGGCGGAGGCGGCGGCGGCGGAGGCGAAGGCGGAGGCGGCGGCGAAGGCGGATGCGGCGGCGTGGCGCGTCGCTCCTCTTCGGCAGGGAAGCTGGGCGGGCCGGCGGAGCAGTCGCCGGCGCGGCCGTTGTCTGCGCCGGTGGCGGCGGCGGCGCGGGAGGGGGAGGAGGAGGGCCGCGACGAGGGGGAGGAGGAGGAGGGGAGCGGCGGGCGGTCGGAGGATGCGGCGGCAGAAGCGGCGGCGGCGGAAGCGGCGGCGGCGGCGGCGGCGGAAGCGGCGGCGGCGGCGGCGGCGGCGTTGGGGTTTGCATCGCGAGAAGAGTCGGGCGGCGGTGGCGGCGAGGCGTCGGCGGTCGAGTTTGTGTGCGCCGCTCGCGAGGACGCGGCGCAAAAGGCGGAGCCTCGCGTGGCGGAGCCGTTTCCCAGACCGTTCCTAGACCTTTCCTGGACGTTTCCCGTATAGGCGGAGCACGTCGTGACCGAGCCTCCGTCCTGCAGCTTCCGCGTGCGCGGCCCCCGGTACCTGTCGAGCAAGGCGAAGATCCCGTGCGACTGGGCGGGGATGCGGCTGCTTGGCTGCGACCTCTGGAAGGGGGGCGAGAGGATGGAGCACGTCGCGGCCGGGCCGGCCGCAGGCAAGGTTGCGGCGTTGCGGGCCAGGCGGATGCGGCTGTAGCATTTGCCATTACAGTGGCACGCCGCGCTTTCTCCCTCCCCGTCGCCACCGTCCGTATCTCCCGCCGATCGCTCCCACGCACGCCTCTCCAACTAGACCGTTCCTGGAACGTTCCTGGAACGTTCCTGTA